TGCTGCTGCTGCCCCATCCCTGGCAGTGTTCAAGGCCAGGTTGGACACAGGGGCTTGGAGCAACCTGCTTTAGCGGAAGGTGTCCCTGCCCGGGGCAGGGGTTGGAGCTGGATGAGCTTTAGGGTCTCTTCAACCCAAACCAGTTAGTGCAAGCTGTAGTGTGGGTTACTTTAGTCATCTCTAGGTATCTGGGTGTGTTTAGGTTTGAAGGGTGCTGTGTGCTGCTTGCTGAAGCAGGGAAGCTTCTGCTGTTCAGGGCTTGTGTCAGGTTGTTTTGCTGTTCAGTAGCTGCTGTATCTCATCTGCTTTCAGAGCTCTGTGGAAGGGATTATTTCTGCTGGAACCAACAGTGTAACTGTTTTCTTTCAGAAAGCAACTTAAGTAAGAGTGGGGAGTCCCAGCAAGCGCCCCAGAGTGCCAGGTATGTTTGTATCATTCCAGTCGGGATGTGCCTTGGGAGATCCATAGTCCAGTTCAAAGCATGTTCAACACTGAAATATTGTTCAATGGCTTCAGTTTTGTGACTGTGGAGCTCTTGCAATAGGTTTTCTCTGCCTCCAGGAAAAGAGAATTTAATCTATGTTTTATTTAATCTGTATCTTCTATCCCTTGAGGAATCTTCTCTTGGATGGCTCCTTGTGCATACCCAATGGAACAGAAGCTAGGATAGTTTCATGACCTGTTTTCCACCTGGCTTTGAGACAGTGGAGGATTTGCCATGTGTGATGCACTGTGTTTTTCTGCCAGGAGAAAGCCAAGCTACAAAAGAGCTGTGGATGAGCGCTATGACCAGCAGCAAGCAGAAGAGGGGGGGCTTTCTCCTCTGAGAAGGAAGACCCCCTCCCCAACCTTTCCAGCCAGCAAAGTAAGAGCATTGTAACCCTGATATAACTGCACCAGGTCCTGCTCCTCCTCAGCCTCCTGAGGGTCCTTCCTGGCATTCCTCCCACAGGTTGTGCGGCCGTTCAAGACGTTTCTGCACACTGTGCAGAAGAACCAGCTGCTCATGACACCATGTTCTGTGGGGAGGAACGGGGTGATCAAGTCTTTTATCAAGCACAACACCCCTCTGCGCTCCGATCCCAAGGTAAGCGAGGCTCTTGGAAGCTGGGATATGATGTCTTGATGAGTGTCAGTTAATGTAAAAAGTAACCTTTTGACTCATCTCAAAGTAAGTGGAAGCTGCTGTTTACACTTACATAAACTAAATAAGACTGTGCTTAGTCAGCTTCCTAAAGGGTTCTAATTTGGACTCTGGGCTTTGTTGCTGCAGCACTCCCCTGTGGTATTAGCAAGTAAGTCAGGAATGAAAACAGGGGATTTTGAATGCATTGGAGGTGCATCTACAACTGAAGTCTCACATCCGAAGTCTCCTTTCTAGGACTGTTCTAGTGAGTGACATCTGAGCAAATGCCTCTTAAATCCAACCTGCTGATGGTCTGAGGTGTTTCAGACCTTTGAAGCAGGAAAAAGCAGGTCTCCTGAACGGGAGGCTGCTGGGTCAGAGGGACGAGTGTGCCAGTGTCCAAGTCCAGTGGGCATCAATATTAATGTTGTGCAATTGTTGCAGCCAGCAGAGACAAACCCACTCCTGTGCTGTTTGCAGCAGGTACCTCTGCCTGTGCACACCACAGGGAGGTTCCCAGCATCACAGGGGGAGCCCCGTGCCCCAAAAAGAGCAGTCATTTGGGTGGATGGGATCTGAAATCTACTTCTGGATTTCCAAAGGGAGTCAGTTTTCCCTGTGTTCTGCTTACACAGGACAGTTTGGTCATAAATCATGATGGTTTAATTACATGGGCTGGAACTGCAGGAGGAATACTGCTTGCAACCATCCCTGAGGGGCAGCCCTTGCTCTTCCTGACCTGCTTTTAACTGGGAAGAGAAGTCAGCGTACAAGGTACAAGGGTGTAGCTTCACAGATGCATCTAGGGCCATGCTGGGCACAGGCTGCTCATACTGCTGATACCCAGCAGCTTGCCTGCAGAATGAGGTGGTTCTAGTGCAGGAGAGTAGGGAGGGAGAGGAGGACATCCTGCAGGAGCTGGTTTTCCTGCATCTAGCTTTTATCTGGCAAACTGACGCCAGAACTTCTTGGTGTTGCTTAGAGCTGTCAGGGTTGTGCTGCTGAGTCCTGTGCTCCAGCAGAGAGGAGAGGTCTGTCAGTGGGCAGTAGTGCAGGAACACCAGCCTCGTGGTGTTCCTCCTGACCTTAGTGTCTGTGCTGGCAGCGGAGCTAATGGGACAGGAGGGAATCTTCTGGCCAGTGTGTCTTAGCTGTTCTATTTCAGGTTTCATTCCAGTGCAACTTCCTCTCGGGACTTTTTCCGTGTGGGGGCCAAATGTAACTAAATAGCATCAGAGCAGGAAGATACAAGCATTAGTTTCCAATTAGCCAGCTCAGATACTAATAGCACCAATCACTCGGAACGTGGAGCCCAGCATAAGGCAATCACTTGAATCTTTCACCGAGCTTATCAATGGCTTTGTGCTGAGACCAGGCCTCTTGTAATTGGGCATCTGCAGTATCAAATCTGGCATGAAATTAGTTTATCTCTATCTGCTTGCTGAACTATACTGATGGCTGGATCTTGCTCTTCTAATGAGGGTGTTCTTAGGCTGAGTTAGCTGGGCTGCTTAGCAGGAGAGAAATGCCCTGGGTTTGTCTGGCTGACAGATGGGGCTTGAAATGAGCTGTGAGCACTCCAAATGGTGGTGGTTTACCATGAGAGGAAGCTTTGTGGGAAGTAGAGACACCAGTGGAGCTCTGAGTTGAGGCAAGCAAAGTGTTTCCTAGAGCAGCCTCTGCCCCAGCACGTTGCAAGGAGTTGGCAGCACTGCCGAGCACCAGCACTGGTCTCAGTGGT